CCATAAAATTTGTAAAATTTTCAGTTACAATAAAAAATATTATTTATTTACTTACTTACTTATTTGTATTGCTATTAAGGTTAAAAAATAACCAAACAATTAGTTTTAGAACATTAAAATAAACTATACTCTAGAGATGGGATGGGATAAATCTTAATTCCTACGCTCAACATAACAATGTCGTTTCTGTTTATTCAGACACGAGAGATACAGCTAATAATGGATGGAAAACTCGGTCCTAGTTGACGACAAATGACACGGCTTCGGGGAAAATCAAGGAATGGATAGGACTAGACGTCCAAATCTTAATAATAAAGCCCAAAACAGCGATGGCTTTGCCGAAGGCATCGCCAAACTCCTTTTAAGACGACACCTAAAGCAGAATAGTTTTTACAGATTTTAAACGCATTTTAATTGAACAATCAGTGCATACAAACTACACGTACCTTTTAATTACATTCAATGTAACTAAAAAGAAAAATGATTTATTTTAACTACGTAGGTAAAATAAGTGGGATAATTTTAGCTTAATTAAAAGCATTTAGCAGAACATACACGTGAACATTGTATATTATAATTACTAAAAACGAAATGTATGTTTAATTCTGATTGTTAGACTTACATAATTGTATAACTCAGAAAACGAGCTGGTAATTGATATTATAATAAAGGTGAAAATATACACTGTAAGATTATACCGTATTCGCAAAGGAGAGCATCATGATTTTATAGATGTTTTATGAGATCAAAAAATCCAAACATGTCTGTTTCAAGTATTTTTTTTATAAACAATCCAACCTTTTTCATTTTAAAAGCATCTCACGATAAAATAAATAAATGTCCCAAAGCGTTATCAGAAAAATCTAATGGTGAAATATATTTAAAAGAAGAGGTTTGTGCATTATTTGCCGAAACATTTTTTAGTAAAGGCTTGATGTACATCGGTACAAACTGCTATTCTTTTTTTATTAATTGTTGGAGTATAAACAAGTTATCAGTGCAATATCTACCAGGCGTAAATCCACTTTGGTCTTCGCGAATTAGATCTACATCTGATCCTACATCATCTAGTATTTTTCCATTTATTATATTTTCAAACAATCTCCCGAAAGTAGGTAGGACACTACTTAATCCTCTGTAGCAGTTAGGATCTTTTCAATTACGCTTTTTAAAGATGGACACTTGGTGAGCGGTTTTTCATTCAGATGGTGCTTTAAATTGTTGGCAGCATTGATTCATTAGAAAAGTTATTCGTTCTATTAGGAGTGGACCGTAACTCTACAGCTATAATGCCAAGTCCTGGAGATCGCCCGTTTTTCATTTTAATTAACGCAGTACGGGCCTTGTTGTTAGTAGTATTAATGTAACTATTTGTTTGTCTCCCCATACTGTATTCCCCTCCTATATATTCCAATTTGGACTCTTAAAGTAAATTTTTACAGTGATTTTCCCACTTTTCTTTAGGAATTAACTTGCTTAAGGAAGTATGGGTGTTTTTAATGTTTTTAATGTGGGAACAATTAGGTGAATCAAGGGATGAAGGGATGCCTAATGGAAAGCGACAAGGTGGCAGAAACGTGGAAGAGAGATATATGTACAAGTCTGATACCAAAAAGGGAATTATTGTTACTAAATGGACTGACAATAAATGTGTACTTTTAGCAAGTATTTTTTATGGAATTCAACCCCTAACTTATGTGTATATTAGTTATTCAGTAAAGCTGAAAAAAGAAAAGTATATGTACCCTGTCCCTCACCAATTACCCAATATAATAAGCACATGGAAAGGGTTGACAAGGTTAACTCTGTACTTGGATTGTTTAGAAGTTCAAGTAGAGCCAAGAGATGGTATTTTCCCATTCTGACTTGGATATTGGACATATGTGTCATAAATGCATGGATTCTCTATAAAAAAGAAAGTAAAAGAGGTGGACTTTCCCTGCAGATTAAAAATAAAATTCAATATCCTCTTGTACTGAGACCAGATAAAGCCACTAAACAGGATGCAGTTGCTCATTGGCCTAAACATATCACCAAGGGTAGATGTAGATATTTTTTTTTATTGAGTTAATGCCTCGACAACTATGATCATTGGCATGGTACAGTCAGGTACCTAGTGTAGTGTGTGTGTGTGTGTGTATGTGTAGAGTAATTGTCTTCATACTTAGCAAAGTCGACGTCATTATCTTTGCTAAGAGATGCTAATTGTATCCGAACGTCTGCGGTCCCTCTGGTGAGTACCGATCGCACAAGGATAGAAAATATTTTCATTCATTAATTTTTAATAAACGAAAATTTCCACCCAGAGATGTAGATATTGTACATCTGGATTTACTGGTATAGCATGCAGTAAATGCGACATACGACTATGTTTGACTAACAGTAAAAATTGTCATTATATTTTTCACAATGAAGCATAAACGCTTGGGTTACTCAGGGTTCAATTCTAGTATTTTTGGCAGCATTTCAGATATTCTTCTTATATAGTTCCATTTTACATGTTGGATTATTAATTTTTTATTTTAAGTAAACATAAAATATTTGATAATCTGACACCATAAATCAAATTTCATATTTTTTTTTATATTTCTTAAAACACTTTGCCAGATACAGGGTTAATGAATGGACTTTTTCTTTGGACCAATATGTGCCGATTATTATTATTTATATAGATTTTTCCCGTGCTATTACTTTATAATAAAAAAGTTATGTCAGATCTCACCTAGAATTTGCAGTGTCAGTTTGGTCACCCCATTTGCAAAGAGACATTAATTTATTAGAATGAGTACAACGAAGAGCTACTAAGCTACCTTTTAATTATGGAAACTTAAACCATGAAACCCAACTAAGAAAGCTAAAGTAGTTTCCATTAACTCAAAGACGAGAAAGAAGCCTTATATCTAGTAATAGAATTGTTATGGGGCCATTTTTGGGGAACATCAAACTTTTTTAACATCAACGCAGATGCTAGACTAAGAAGTCATAACTATAAATTAAAAAAGGATTTTTTTTTCTGAAAACTTACAATTGTAAGGATATAAGTATATGTTTTCTCTTGATGCTGATGTCCAATTGTCACAGTACAACTGTTGAGATTATCAACAGAAAGCTAAAAACTAGAGAAAAAGCTGAGTTTACTTGTCCAAAATCAAGTATTTTTTACAATAATTTTGTGAGAGGAGTAGATCTCGCCGATGAAAACGTTATCAAATATGACATGGACCAAAAATCTGAGAAATGGTGGAGAAAAGATTATTATAGATTAGTTATGTACGCTATTATAAATTATTGGATTATTTACAAGGATCTGCATAAAAGAAGTGTACAACAAGATAATACAAAATTTTCATTTTTGAGCTTTCTGGTGCCACTAGCAGAACAGCTAATTGAATTAGGAAGATCGCAATAAAATGTAAAAAGACTAACAAGTGGCATTCTGGAAAAATATCTAAACTACAGAAACAGATGATCAACGTTGAAGACCATTTGCTATGACAAATACCTACAAGGCTAAGGTGCACAAAATAAATCAGAAACTCGAACTACAATTATTTGTACAGCGTACAATGTGCCTCTAGGCAAAAATTGTATTTTACCACATCATTAATAAGAAGTAATGTTTTTTTGTGTGTAATGTACTTTTTTTATTTTGAATGTAAGTTCGTTTCATTACTAATGGGATTTATTTATTCCACAATTCAACACTAATGGGACATATATGACCCATGACCTTTCTAATAATACAAGGACACGCAACAATGTAAAAAAATCAATCGCTTCGTTAGGTCTCTAGGTATAAACAAATATCATTAAAGTTATTTTAAACAGTTTTATGCTGTATGTACTTTTTTTATTTTGAATATAAGTTCGATTTAATACTGATGGGTTTCATTTATTCCACTATTCAACACTAATGGGACATATATGACCCATGACCTTTCTAGGGATACATGGACACGCAAAAATGTAAAAAAAACAATCGCTTTGTTCTCTATGTTTGGTCTTTGGTCTCTAGGTATCAACGAATATCATTAAAGTTATTTTAAACAGTTTTCTTTAGCTACAATGAAATCAGTTAGAGTGGAATCAGTGGTTAGAAGGGTTTCTAAGTATACGTTGTAATATTTGCATTTTTTGTAATTTGCTATTATTGTTAGAGCTTTTTCTAAGAACTAATTCTTTTGGATATTATTTTTATTTTTTATTGTTACTTTAGAAAATTTGATTTATATTATATTATTTAGTTTAGTACCTACAAATATTTTCTATTTTGGGCCACACAAGCTTCGCTTTGGCTCGATATCATTGTATAATAATAATAATAATCAGCTACGCGTCTACAAAGATTTGTCATCAGCTACCCCTCGTATATCTTTTAGAACCTTCAATAACCTTCTTTTTTTTCTTTACAGGTCTAGCATAGAAACAAAGCATCTACTGTCCTATGGGTACGTTATAAGAATGTTGGAAGAACGCTTGCTAAAAACAGCATTAACTATGTGCCACAGCATAGAAAAAAAAACAGGGAAGACCAGCAGAAGAAAAAGAAAATACAAGAAGCTTTATATAATAAATTACTGGACCAATATAGAAAGTTATGATTGAAAAAACCTACAGAAAGAATGATACAAAATACATACGAGTATGCTAGAAATACACTGAATACAGGTTATATTAACATCAAAAAATAAATTTTTCAAAAATTTTTTATTAGTTTTTGGTTAAACTTTTAGGATGGTAGGCATAATTTATGTAAATCCAAATTCCTATATAACTTTCCCTAGAAACTAAATTTCTATTTTAAGGCCACTATTATATCAGCACTAATTACAGTTACATACTTAACTAGAACAATAGTAAATGGATTTTCCCTTCGTTGGTCCCACCCCCTTTTTACCTGAAATGTTCCCAATTCTTATCAATCATTTTGAGTTTTTAATATCTTGTTTAGTGTGTTATAAATATTTGAGACGATCACTTGTAATCATTTTGCTACAAAAATGGTTGGTGTTTTAAACTTATTGGTAATTGTGCCACTATTTTTTTTGCAAAAAGTTGTAACTAGTTCTGTTGACGAGCAAGAAAATCAACATTGTGTTTGTGTACCTTACTGGCAATGTAAAGAAGACTATAGCGGACTGGTTGAAGATGGAGGGGAGGTCATGGATATAAGGTAAATTGTAAAATTATGTATACCGATTGTCCCTACAGACTAGTAAAAATAGTAAACTCAAAATTTTTAAATTCCTTATATTATTTAGGCAAAAGTATAGAGAAAGTGCCGGCGAAGTTAGCTACACATGAGGGAAATTTTTGTATTTGGCAGTGTTTTCATGTCGTTTTACTAATCACGAAAGAGCATGTCATATAATAATAATTAATTTGACTAAACATTCTTTTTAAGTTTAATTTAAATTTAATTTATTATAATTTAAATTAACTTAATTTTTTACGCTCTTAAATTCTTAAGTTTTTAAAATATTCAGGTACCATTTCATCCCAAAATTATAAGAAAATAGTAATAAAATTCAAATGTGCTGAACATTTGGCAACTAGTGTTTTCAAGTTTTGACAGTATTGCAAAGTTTATTGCTAATCTACCAAAGGCCAATTATATATATTTTTTTTCTAATAACTAACTGCAACTAATACCAAAAGAAACAAATATTCATTCGTTCGTGTCTTATATAAATTTTAAAAAATTCAACTGAACAAACAAATACCTGATTCCATAAAATAATATAATAAAAATGTACTCTTTCAAAGCATATTTGAGGCATAAAACATACATAATAAGCATGGCACACGCAAATTTGACGGTTTATTTGTTGCTAACTTCACTGTTTGATCCAAATGTTATTAATTATGTTAATTAATTGTTGTAGTCCGAAAATGTTTTCTTACACATATTTTATTATGAATTGTTTTGAATTATTATTAATGGTGAATATCTTGTCGAGAAAGGTTGATTCGTTACCCACATGCTAAAACTTGTTTGAATCGATAAATTATGGTGCTAGATGCTAAAGATGATACATGAATATAGCGGCAAAAAGTTTTCCACGCCAAACCTATCTATTTATTACAATGTTTAAACACATTATGAAAAATATTATTTTTCTTTTTAAAACTATTTTTTTTTTTTGACAACTTAAATTATGTTCAGACGAAAGTTATAAGCGAGCGGTTTACCCTAAAAAGGCGCTTAGAAACGGAATGTACCGACTATTTTTTAACTTCAAATAACAAAAACACAATTTACCGAATCGTTTCAAGTAATTTTTTTTTTGTGTATCTTATCGAAATAAATACAATTTCCCTCTTGGTAATTTTTCAAAAAATGCTGCCCTTTTGGTTGAAAAATGGCTTAATTAGTGATTCTTGGGATTAAAACTACTAAATGAATTGCAATTCTACAATTTTTAAACCTACACGTACAAGTAAGGATAAGCAGTTTATGTCTTGCTAAAAACATAGTTTTACATTTAAACAAAGATTTCTAAGGCGCCGCGCGCCTCTATTGCCGCAACCTTACACGCTTAGCGATAGATTGCTATAAATGCATTTACAAAAGATTGGGTTTCATGTTTTCAGCAAGATAGAATCGATTTATCCTTGTCAAAATATTTCCTACTTGTACTTGAAAGTTTTAAAGCTTATAAAGGCTTTTTATAGAATTGCAATTTATCTCGTAGTATTTTTTAAAAAATCCCAAAAATCATTTTTTTTAACCTATTCTCTATCCTCCATTGTTGGTATGGGTCTCCAGTTCTCTCCTTTTTCCTATCTTGAGCTGTCTTGCCATGTGGACTCCTTTTTTCCTGTTGTCATCTTTCACCTCATCTGTGGTTGCCTCTTGATCTCTTTGCATTTAAGGACGCTCACTTTTCGATGGCATGTTCCTATCGCCGTCTTGAAGAGTTCCTTTGTGTCCAGCCCATTTCCATTTTCAGTTTTGCTGCTTGTTCTATCGAGTTACTGTTTTATTCGGGTTCTGGATCCACTGGTTTACGTTTTCTTCTTTAAAGTGGATACACCCAACAGTTGTCTCCTCATCGTCTTTGTGCCTTCTTATCCGATTCCAAATTGGCTGTGTAAATGTCCAGTCTGTGCTCCGTAGGTGTGCAACGAATATGTACAGAGTTATTTACCCTGCTTGTAAGTATGAGAGGGAGTGTTTGATTTTTAGAACGTAAGAAAGTTTGCCGAACGCTAGCCATCCATCTTATCGTCTCGATATTTCGGCTGTTTGATTTTCTCTATTAGCTCTTGATTGCTTGTCCTAGATAGATATATACTCATTTACTGTTTTATTTTATTTTTAGTGTCTCTTGGTCTTCCGTGTTTGTCATTACTTTTGTTTTTTGAAGTTAATTTTTGGCCTTTTGAAGTGATTTTTTATGAAGTTTCAGTTCAGCATTAATCCAGTTCTTGTCGTTCGAGGAGATCAGGAGTATGTCATCCGCATTCTAGGTGATTTAGGTATTTTTCGTTATACATATTCCTTCGGTTTTTCCCAATCTGTTGAATTTTATTATGTCTTCAGGGCAAGGTAAACAGTTAGGTGAAAATATATCGCCTTGTCGGACTCCTCGTTTAACTTTTATATTATCGTTATTAATTTGTCGTCTAGAATTTACGGTCATGGTTGCGTTTTGGTAAATATCTGTATCAGTTGTCGGTATCTTGGAATCTATTCTAATATTGACTAGAGCTTCTTCAACGACCCTCCCAGTGTTCAATGAGGTCGAAAGCCTATTTCATAATTACAGATATGATAAGTACAAGCGGTAAGGTTGTATTCATTGGTTTCTACAATTAAGATTTTAAGCGTATGTAGATGGTCGTTGTGCTGTATCCTTTTCTGAATCCGTCCTTGTTCCACTGGTTTGGTGTTATCAAGTTTATAGGCTTAGTCGCTGTGGTTTTATTATTCTTATGAAGGTTTTCATATAGTTGTGACAAAAGGGAAATGAGGACGGTAGTTGTTGAGGTCTGTTCGTTCTCTTTCTTATGTATTAAGATGTGTTTGCATTTCTCCTTGTCTTGGGGTTCTTTACTTCAATACAGACATTTGTTTTGAACAGTTTTTTTAGCATTTTTTTATCGTGTTCCTCTTCTTTTAGCAGTTCCGCAAGTATTTTGTCCTCACCGGCCGCTTTATTTCTTTTCATATCGGTTTATGGATTTTTCGATTTCATCTTTGAGTTATTTCTGGTGTAATTACCTCTGAGCCAACATTTTTGGATTTTCCTCGTGAGATTTCTGTTTAGATAATAGTGGTGGGGTCATTTTGTAGAACTGTATAGGTCAGTGTAATGTTTTTCTGTGATTTTTACTATTTCTCCTATATCTCTTTCTTCATTGTTTCTCAGCTTCTTAAGCGATGATTAGTTTTCTTTTCATTTATTTGTCTTAATTGTTTTTAAAACTATATTTGTTCTTCTCTATGATTTTCTTAATTCGTCGTCTAGGTTATTTCTTTAAATCTTTCTTTACTGTTTTTTATGGTTTTATCAGTTCGATATACTCTCGGTATTTCTTTTGTTATCGTTCAGTAGTTGTGTCGTTTTTTTGCATATCTTGTGATTTAGCGTAATTTTTTGTTGTTTTTCGCTTTTTGTTTAATTAGCAATCTTCCGGCCTGTTCTAGTATTCTGTTGATATTTTATCGTTTAATCGTTAGTTGCAGACCCTTTAGCTGTGATATGTCACTTCTTTTTAGCAGGGTTTCTGTATGTTCTTTGCGTTCTTTAAAAAAGTTCTGTATCTATCTATTTTTTAGTTGGTTTAAATTTTTGTCTTGTCTGTTGTGGAGTTAATTTTGATTATGGCTTAACAATTCTGTGATCACTTCCTCGGGAAATCTTTGGTTATGGACCGTAACGTCTTGTACTATGCTCTTTTCTTTGGATAGGATGTTATCAATCTCATTTTTTGTATTAAACCATTGGGCGCGAACCCAGTCCCATTTTCTCTGTGGTTTTTTATTGATAAAAGGTATTCATCGCATATAGACCGTTCGTTTCCATATATTTATTATGTTTCTCCTCTTTCGGTTTCGTTTTCCATATCCCAAAAATCACTAATTAAGTTAAAAATACCCGAAAAGGAAGCTTTTCGAAAAAAAATACCAGAGGAAAAAGAATTTACTTCGATGAGATACACCTCAAACAAATTTCGCTCGAAAGCGATTCGGTAAATTGTTTTTTGTTATAAATTATTTGTTAATAACAATTTCGGCCCACTTGAAAAAAAAGATACATTTGAACTTGAAAAAAATAATAAATCGAATAAAAAGGTTTGATGCGGTAGGAAATACAACAAAAATCTGTTTATATTCTTCTTTGGTGCTTTTCGTTTCGAATATTGGCGATCATTCTGGCTATAATTATTTTATTAACTAATTGCTTTAAACAGATTAGTTGTTGTTGTGGAGAACCATTTCCTCAGGTTTTTTAACCATGATATTCTTCTTCTCCCAATTCCTCGCATTCCGAATACGTTGCCTTGAAGGATCACTTCTCTTTCTTTCCCCATTCTTCGTAGTACAGTCTCGTTGGTTATCTTGTCCGTCCATGATATCCTTAGGGATTCTTCTGTATAGCCACATCTCGAAGGCTTCAAGTTTTTTCTCCATCGCTTCAGTGAGTGTCCAGGATTCAATTCCGTATAGTATAATATCGAGAAGATATAACATAGAAGGAGCCTTACTTTTATCTCAAGATTAAGATTGTGGCTTTTGCAAATAGCAGAGTTTGGCTATGTTGTTGAATGCACTCCTACTTCTCTTTTCTACATTTTACTTCTTGTGAGTGATCCCATTGTTCGTTTACTATTGTTCCAAGATAGGTAAACTGTTTTACTTGTAGTCGGTCCACTGGTGTATTTTTGGTAAGCTGTTGGATGTCTCTAATTTTATTTTTGCTGATGACAATAAATTTAAGTTTTTGATATGTTTACTTGTCCAAATTTTTCACTTACTTCATTTACTTTGTTTATTACTTGCTGTAAACTGTTTAAAACTGTGCAAAAATAACGGCGTCATCTGCATAGCGAATGTTATTTAGGCGTTCTCCATTTAAAAGGATTCCGTGTTCACAATTTTCCAAGGCTTCGTTAAATATTTCCTCTGAATATAGGTTTGAATAATATAGGTGAAAGTATACATCC